TGGCGCTCATCATTGCAGCGCATTTCCCGTGCTACACCGGAGAAAACCTGTCAAGCTGTCGTCGTGACTGACGAAGCAATGGACACCGGAGGCGAAGGTGACGGTGAATCAATCGCAGAAGAGAAGGGTGAAACTGAGAAAAGGCCTGGAAAGAGAAAGGAACGAATTTCACCAGAGCCAACCGACAAAGTAGCAAAGAAGAAGGACTTGAAAAGAAGCCCTCCTCAACGACTGGCAGAGCAGGGCAACGAACCTCAGAAGACGACGATTGACTGGGTAAAAGTACAGTCTAAGAAGGAGAAGAGAAGTCTAGCTAGAGAGCAACTCTCAAAGCAGCCGTCGAAGGAGCCCAGGCCAGAGCCTAAGTGGAAAAAACCACGAAAGTGGATTAGGCCTGACGCTCTGATCATCCGTCCGGTAGAGAAGGAGAAGTACGCTGAAATATTGCGTCGTATAAAGCAGGCCGTTCCCGACGAACAGGTCCGCACAACCGTGGAAAAGATCCACAAAACCAAAACCGGGAACATGCTGATTACGCTCTCAAAGAAGAGTATTGACAAAGGTCAAGCCTTGCAAAAGGCCATCACAGACGTTCTTCAAAAAGAAGCTGAAGTAATTTGCAAAGGACCGCAGGAGATGATCGAAATTCGAGACATTGATGATGACACGACGAAGGAGCACATTCAGACTGCCCTGAAAACGGAAACCGGAGAAACTTGCGAAATACCACTAGAGGCTATCAAGATCCGTAAGGCCTACAGAGGTACGCAAACGGCTACAGTGACGCTACCAGCGACAACTGCACAGAAGTTACTAGAAGGTAACAGCAAAGTAAGAATTGGTTGGGCCAACTGTCGAATAAGAGCAACGAAGAGACCTGTCCAATGTTTCAAATGCTGGCACTTTGGGCACTTCGGATCCTAGTGCAAAAGCAAAGTCGATCGGTCTAGGCTTTGCATCAGGTGCGGACAAGAAGGGCACAAGATTTCTGATTGCGAAAATCCAGCCAAATGTGCATTATGTGCTGAGATTGAAAGTGTAGAGAAGGTTGCCCACCATGCCGGTACCCATAAGTGCCCGGTATTTCAGAATGCATTCCAGAAGTTGACGAACAAACAAGCATGAGGATACTGCAGCTCAATATCAACCATTGTGAGGCAGCGCATGACCTGCTCATGCAATCCGTGCGAGAACTAGAGCTTGACTTGGTACTGATAGCAGAGCCATATAAACAGCTGAGTACCCAACCCTGGGAATCTGACAGCACATCCAAAGCTGTCATCTGGTCATGTGGCAAGCTCCCTTTCCAAAATGCGGTCGACAACAGCAATGCCGGCTTTGTAGCAGTATCAGTAGAGGGCATTCGCTTCTATAGCTGTTACGCACCACCTAGCCTCTCTACTGTCAAATTCACCGCATTTCTGGATCGACTTACCGAGGACGCGAAGCATTACCACCCAGTGGCAATAGCTGGGGACTTCAACGCCTGAGCAGTAGACTGGGGAAGCAAGCATACAAACGCGCGAGGAAAGGAATTACTAGAAGCCTTTTCTACATTAGATGTAGTACTGCTCAACAGTGGTGACACACCAACCTACACCAAGGGAGACGCAAGTTCGATTGTAGATCTCACTTTCGTCAGTGGCAGCCTCACCAGAGGTAACATCAACTGGAAGGTGATGGATACCTACACAGCCAGCGACCACAACGCGATTCTCTGGGAAATATTAAACGCCCAGAGCCCGAGAAGACCTAAAGAGCAACTTAACACCATTGGCTGTAAGGTAAAAACTCTTGACCCAAGTGCATTGTTAGTAGCTCTCAATAGTGACCAGATTATTGCGGGCTGCGCAGAAGAGAAGACCAAGGACCTGATGAAAAGAGTGACCCAAGCGTGCGACGCCAGTATGTCTCGTAGACGTGGCATGAACACAAGACCTTCCGTTCACTGGTGGAACGACTACATCAGCGCCCTTCGTAAAGAGTGTCATCAAAAGAGAAGAATATCTCAGCGTGGCTACCGACGAACTAACTCTGTGGAACTGGTTGCAGAGTACAAAAAAGCCCGTCGATCCCTGAACAAAGCCATCAAAGATAGCAAAAGAAAATGCTGGAAGGAGCTCATCAACGAGGTGGACAGAGATCTGTGGGGTCGGCCGTATAAGGTGGTTATGACCCATCTTAAAAACCAGCTAATGCCATCACCCACGTGTCCTCAACTCCTACAGAAGATCGTAAACGCGTTGTTCCCCGGACAAAGCGAGTTTAACTACCTAGTAGCGCAGAATGAAATGGATGACATTTTATTTGTCACGGAGGAAGAACTGATGGAGGCTTGTAATCGTGTAGGGAACAATAAAGCACCGGGATTGGACGGGGTCCCCAATATTGCCTTAAAAACAACTATAAAAGCAGTGCCATCATTGTTCCTGGACGTTTACGACACATGCCTCAAGGAAGGGATTTTCCCTCGGAAGTGGAAGCAGCAACGACTAGTACTACTTCCAAAAGGAAAAAAGCCACCAGAAGAACCGTCATCTTATCGACCACTTTGTATGTTAGACACGGCAGGTAAGATACTTGAGCGTATAATCCACCAAAGAATAGAAGCAGTTGTCGATCCACTCCTGGCAGACAACCAGTATGGTTTTCGGAAAGGACGATCAACCCTGGACGCAATCAACCTGGTTGTTGCAACGGCCAAGGAGGCAATCGAAGGGATCAGATGGAAGGGTGGAGCGAAGAAGTACTGCCTGGTGGCCACTCTGGACATCAAAAATGCCTTCAACTCCGCCAACTGGGACTGCATTATACAAGCTCTGGAAGAGAAAAACGTACCAGGATACCTACGTAGGATAGTGGCTAGCTACTTCACGGACAGAATCCTGAGATATGACACGAAGAATGGTCCAAAAGAGTACGATATTACCGGAGGCGTACCCCAGG